TATATATATATATATATATATATATATATATATATAATATATATATATAATATATATATATATATATAATATATATATATATATATATATATATATATATATATATATATTATATATATATATATATATATATATATATATATATATATATATATATATATATATATATATATATATAATATTATATATATATTATATATATATATATATATATATATATATATATATATATATATATATATATATATATATATATATATATATATATATATATATATATATATATATATATATATAATATATAATATATATATATATATATATATATATATATATATATATATAATATATATTATATATATATATATTATATATATATATTTATTTACATATATACATATATTTATATATATATATATATATATATATATATATATATATATATATATATATATATATATATATATATATATATATTATATATATATATATATATATATATATATACATATATATATATATATGTATTTATTTACATATATACATATATTCATTAGATATATAGATATATATAGATATACATATATGTATATATATATAGATATAGAGGAGATATATAGGGATATACACAGATACAGATATATGAGACAGATATATGAGATATATATATGAGATAGATATCGAGATATCGAGATATCGAGATACAGAGATACAGAGATAGAGTAATATACAGGTTGTCAAAGCAGAAGCTTTGAGATTCTGTAAGGATGTCTGATGTATGGAGGTCGTTGAAGGGAGGAGAGGTGGGGAAGAGTAGAGGTGCTGGCTGTACCAAGGTGTGGAGAGAACAAGAGAATTTGTGGAACTGAAAGAATTGTTATTGTTTAATGGTTAAAAAGTAAAAATAAATGTGCTAGACATCTAACATCATACAGCACTATAGTAAACTATATTAAAGTAGGGGGGAAGGGTGATATTTGCTATGCGTCAACTATCTAGAGTGATCTTGAAGGGTTAAAATGTAAAAAGAAGTTGTTGTGTGAATAAGGTATGGTGGGTTTAAGTAAGGGAATTGTATAAGTGATTCACATGAGTATCCAGGAGGGAGTGGAAAGGATAGAGGGGATGGTGGGAGGGAGAATGTACGTATAGTTGGAGTTGAGGGGGTGGGTTGCTTTGGGAGGGAGTAGGGAGTGGTGTAGGGAGAATATGAGTAGGAGGAGGATGGGCGTCGGGAGGATGGATATCGGTAGCAGTTGGTATTGAGGGGAATGGGTTGTGTTGGGACAGAGTAGGAGGAGGATTGATATCGGTAGTATTAGGAGGATGGATATCGGTAGTATGCGGAATTAAGGGGGTTAGGTTGGGTTGAGAGGGAGTAGGAGGGAGGGGTGTAGGGGGAATATGAGTAGGAGGGGTATGGATTTTGTCAGTCACTTCGAGCGTGGAGGGAGCACAAGTTGTGGAATTTTGTGTTCCAACCATATAGCTTTGAATATCTTCCATAGTTTCTGTGATGGAGTTGGTTGGAGAGTTTTATGAGACAAAGGTTTTCTTATGAGGAGAGGAAGAGAAGATGGGTGTCTCAGGAATAAAGGCAAAGGTAGGTGGAGGTAAGTGTGCGGTAGGGGAAGGGGGGGAATATTTAGTCTGTCTGCTGCGGGTAGTTGGGGCTGTAGTTGAGATTGGAGCTGTAGTTCAGATTATAGTGTCTGGATTTAGAGTGGCAAAAGAATTTGACAGAGAGGTAGAATGTATTAGTGGAAGTGGGGAAGTACGTACGTATAGGGGAGGGTATAGGAACATCCTGGGTTGGAGGGGGAGGGGCAGAGCGAGCGACATTACTAGAGTAGGGAGTATGATAGAAACCTTGTCAGCGTGCTTCTTGTCTGGCTTCATGTAGAGCGAGATCATTTTTGTATCTGAGAATTGCTACCTCAGACTCAAACTTATAAGGGGAACAGCCTCTTTAAAATACATTATGGGGAATGCCGCAGTTAGCACATGTGACCGGGTTGGGCACATAGGGGGTATCGGGTTGTGAAACGGCAGTGTTTGGCAGGATGTCCAAAGCGCCAACAGTTTTGACAGGTTGGTATGGTTGAACAGGGAGGGATTGTCCACCAATGTAGTTACAAAAGGGAAGGTCATGTGTACGGAAAGGAATTTCGGCAATGTTGGTGGGTTTCTTTCAATGACCTCTAGGAGGAATGGGGTAGCACTGTACTGATATCAAATCACGGTCTTTGAAGCAGCCGAGTAAGTATTCTCCAAAATTAGACCAACCCCTACGGCATCTTGCTGGGGAGACAGAGTACAAGAGTTACGAGTTGCATTAGGTTTTGCAGGAATGGGATTGCCAGAGATATCAGTTAAATTTGATAATGCTATAGCTTTAGTTTCATATGTAACTGTGACAAGACGGGAACGATCGGGTCGGGTACAGATGACAGGGAGACACTGTTGAAAGAGGAGTGTTGCCTGAGTAAAGAGCTGTAGGGAGGATCACGAAAAATTGGTCCCATTTGACTGGGCAAAATAGAGTATTCAAGATATTGGTAGAGTTGTGGGTGGTAGAAGGACGGGGACATGTGGAAGAGGGAGTATTGTTGAGGGGGGTATCACAGAGATGGAGAATAAGGCTGTAAGATAGTAATAAGGGAAGACTGAGGTGATTGATGAAGAAGGTTGTGAGGCTAGAGTTGATGAATTTGAGAAAATTGGGAGTAGGAGTCTCGACGGGTGGATAATGCACTAGTAGGCATTGAGGAGTGGGTAGTAGTTGTAGTGTCCCAAGTCGTGGTCAAAGGAGAACCTGGGGTTGGGGAGCTACGAGAGAGTGAATTGGTGGAGCTATTTGATGAAGGGGCAAGCCTCATTGCCTCTAAAATGGGTATTACAAATTCATTACTGGCCATGGGAAGCCTTAACTATATTGGGGAAATAAATAGTCCACCCTTCAGGGTCCCCTTGAGGGTTAAAGGGTAGACAACTAAAACGGGATTACCGTGACCATGGCTCCCTCAGGCCATTCAGGAGAGGCATAAAGTCAGCCTATCATCCTTTCAGCATGGCTTACACCTTAGGAAGTAGATAGTAGAAGGGGTTAGAGAAGGGACGGAAACGAAAGAGCTGGAGGGAGAAAAGACCATGCAAAATTAGTTGCGTCGAGGGCTGAGGCCCTAGGCAGGGGAGATCCCTGCATTGGGTCTCAGTTCCCGTCTCCTAAGCCTCCCCCCCCTCCACGACAACAACAGGCAAGGGATTGGGGCGATTTATGTATACAAGTATGTGTACCTTATACAGTTCTACCACACCGTGATCATGGCGAATATAAACTTGTATTATCAATTCTAACCGAGGAGTGGCCATTCTCGAGGATAATTCCTCATACAAGTGTTGGTTAAATCTTGCTAACAGTCATAATGTCCTGTACTTTAGTAACTTTTACACACCCATCCTTCCGAGTACGTCTCTAATTATTTACAATATCACTTTCTCCTAGACACTTTCCTTTCATCAAGTGATAAGGAACAAAAGTGTCAGGCATAAAAAAAAGAAGAAAAAGAAAGAGTCACTCCCTACCCAAATGCTTCACTTCAAACCCTGAGGTTTGCTAACAATTATCAGTGGTAAAAAGTTTTCAACAGCAGCAGCAATGTGCTTCTGTTCTCTGTTCTAAATAGATTTCCTTGCAAGGTGCTCCCCTTATGCTAGGGATATGTATACATGTCATGACAACTGTGGTTGGTGTATCAATTGTCGTTACACATGGAGGACACAAGTATTGTCACCAATGAGTTAATTAAAAGTACTACTCATCTCACCTGTTACCAACTTCCTCGATTTTCAAAAATACTTTCTTAAATTTTATACTGATATTAGTGATGTTGATAACATTATAACAATAACAGCATTGATAATATTACCATGGGGGAGGGGAGAATCTTGTGTGAGGGAAAAAAAGGAAAAAAAGAACTCAACTAATGGACTCCTTAGTGGCTCAGAACTTGTGGAACCATCTATGTGCACAGACATTTCAATCTTAACGAATCTTAGATCTTTAAACCTTCCAAATTCATCAATGCAAAACCCATAATGCAGCCCTTATGAGCAACAAAGAGTTCCAAGAACATTCGCTGATCAGTTCTCATTTATTGTTGCAGAAAGCCACTAAATCAACATGGCAAGAGCCCTTTTACAGGTAAAAAAAAAACAAAACAAAACAAAACATTCTTTTTTTCTTTACTTCAAAAATAATACAAATCCTAGGTCTAATTCCCCAATACTGACTTTTAAGTTCACCAAATCCAGGTTAATTTGAAAGCATTAATCTACATCAGAAATATGAAATGACACAAATGAAACTAAACTGTAGTCTACTTCCACTTAAAATAAATTGTTCATTCATTTAGTTATAACAGAATAAAGTTTGGTTATTACCAATTGAAACTGTAAATACAGAAGGTAGGTACTGGCAAATAAAATAACTGAAATGTCAAAAGGGGCATAATTTACCATTATACATGGTAAAAAATTCAAGAAATAATATACAAATTTACTTTTGCTGCCCAGAATTCTTGGAAATATTTGTAATTGGACTGACAAATATAATTCAAGACAATGTAGCCTAAGTCCTACATAGATCACTTTCAAGACTCTGTATTAACATGGTGGGGAATTGAAGTCCTGATATCTTACACCTTTTATTTCTAATAATAAATGTAACTAAAGTTGTATTTTCTGGTAACCATAAAAACATACAAGTTATGTTTTATAAGTTGCAAAAATGCCTTACTTGAATTGTGACATACATGTATATCTGATTCTTCAATATTTTTTCAATTTTAATTCTAGACCCTGGCAAAACTAAATCTTCTACCTACTCATACTCAAATCATGTTGTAATGTAACTAACAATTTTACTATTAGTAAAGATTGCTGGGCAGGGTTGGTAATGCAACATAATCCTCAAGTTAGGTTCATAACAAAAATGCTTATTGATTATCACTATTTAATACTAATTAGTTTATTATGAAATATTTCTAGCATAACATCAATTTTATTCACTTATTGACACTACTAAAGTTCCAAACAAAATGAGAAGGAAAATTTTCTTTGTATCAGACACTCAAGACAAGACCTTGCTTCACAGATACCTGAAAAATAAAGGAAAGCATTAGAATAGAATAATAGTTGTAATAAAAATAGTAAAACTATTTATCTGTTGCAAATCCTCTCTCTTTAATTTACGGAGAAAACTTTTCAATATTATTGTTAGTAATTTTATCCTAGTTATCATTCCCATAATAATTATCATAACAATCATTATCTCCACATTGCCACTAGAAATGAATGACCTCAGACTGAAGCCTTTATTCTACACAATATAACAATCGTACAAGTATAGACACTAAAATTGTTCCAATATGCAGCTAAAACAAGAATGCAGATCCTGGAGTTACTAGGTTAAAGTACTTAAAGAACTATCACATTTTGCAACCTACAAAATTTCCAATATATTTATTGTAATGTTATATCGACATATGATTAGATCATGTGTGTGTGTGACAACTTTAACATGCTGTTTACAACCTAAGTATTTGTAATGTACTGAATGTCTCAAACCATTCAAACTATTCACAATATCATATGCAGAACAAGGTTCAAAATATATTAAAAAATACAGATGGAAACCTTTGATTTCTGCTTTAAAAGATCAGGAAAGCTTATACTTAAAGTAAGTTATAATGACAAGAAAATAAATGTGCTAGACATCAAAGGTCATAAAGCACTATGGTAGTCTGTGGTGGGAACAGTTTTTAAAGTTCTTTGTTAGAATTAAAATGGCATATTTCAACAGTCAAATATTGTATGATAGTATAGCAGTTAAAGGAGTAGATAAGGGGATAAATGGGATAGGATAGGTATTGATGAAAAGAGGAAGGGTTAAGGACAAAGGGCAGTTAGATCAAATAAAGGATATTTATATGTCTGAGGAAGGAGAACAGGGGCCAGATTCTCAAACGTGTTAGAGCACAGTTTCTCCTTAAGGCGCCTTAACTCACGGCCAAGCGCCCTTACGGCCCATGCACAGAGCAAGGGACCTGCCATAATGGTGCAAGCTAAGGCGCCTTAGGTTAAGGCAGGGGGAGAGCAGCCTTTAGCGCTTTGCAGCGTGCAGGAGATCAATACTCCTTACTCTTATACAAGAGAAATACAGCAGGATGGTTGAGGCCTCCAGCGCCTTAACTAGAGGCTCTTTTGAGAATCCGGCCCCAGGTTATCAATAGAAAAGGTGGGGGATTCTATGAGGATGTCCGACAAGTTGGGGGTCGGGAAGAAGGGATATGCAAGGGAAAGTAAAGGTACAGTAAAGTAAAGCAGGAGCATGATAGTAGGACATGTGGGAGAGAAAAAAGGACATTGCATGTAGGGCATAGAGGCAGGTTACAGTAGTGTGACATGAGGTACGAGTGAGCCGGGTGAGCTATTTGTAAACGGGCCAGGGCAGTTTCCCATCTGTTCTGATTACATGGAGCTGACCAAGGAGATATCGAAGGTTTTAAAGTTTGCAGTTTATTGGTGTTCAGACCTGATCAGAAAGTTTGTTAATGGTTGTAGAGGAAAATTTAGAAGTGGTGGTAGTAGTTGGTGGTGGCTGGTATGTATGAAAAGTGGGGTTGGTAAGTTGTGGGCAAGGCAAAATATCGTGCCAAGTCACCTGCTATTTCACTGCTGGGAATCCCTACATGGCTGGGTTTCCAGCAAAAATTCACTGCTTTCAGTCGTGTAGACAGATAGCACAACTGGTTCTGTATTTTATGGACTATGGGTTGATAGGGTGTATGGAGTTATTGAGTGATAATGAGTTGACCGAGTCAGTGAAGATGAAGGATGAGGAAGAGATAGGAGACATACATTGTAGGGCAAAGAGGATAGCATATAGGTCTGTTGTAAGGACGCTTGATTCAGGTGGAAGAAAGCTGTATGTGTGAGAGGCAAAGACTATGGCAAAACAGCACCTGAGGTGGATTTAAAGCAGTCGGTGTAGACACGAGTACTGGAAGAGTGACTAGAGATATGTGCTAGAAAATGTGTGAGGAAGATAGGGGTGGAATGTTTGTCTTTGGCAGATCAGGGATAAATAGAAGAGCAATTACAAGTGGTAGGCATCAGCCAGGGAGGGAAAGTCTGGGCGGAAAGAGGAAGAGTTCAGATATGAGGAAAGGATGAACAGGAAAGAAGAGCATCCATACAAACAGGGAAAGGGACATGTAAACATGGAGAGGAAGAGAAGATACGAAGAAGTGGTTGAGGGACAGTTAGTTTGGAGAGAGAAAATTGATGAATGCGAGCATTACTTCTTAGGAACAGAAGAGCGCAACATCTGGAGAGGGATGGTAGTCTTGATTCAGCGTATAGGCTCTCAACTGGAGAGGATCGAAAGGCTCCAAGGGTTAAGCGGAGAAGAGATTGATGTTATTGACGACTAGATAAGCTGATGGAGAACTTGTATGAAAGGGCATACATATAGTGATGATTGGATTCTTGGTGGTAAAGCTGAAACTAATCTGTTTACAGCTATGAGGAATAGTGTGGTGCTTAATACACTGCCTAGTGGGACACCTTCAAATTGAGGAAAAGAGGAGGAAGTAAAACAGGTAAATCTGACATGGAAGGTACGGTCTAAGGAACGATTTTATAAAAACACCCACGTTTCCAAATATGCCACGGAAAGATAACTGTTGTAGTATATGGTGCCGCCATATAGTATCATATGCTTTTTCAAGATCGAAAGAGACAACTAATACTAACTCACAGCGTGCAAATGCTGATGTGATTGTTTCTACATAGGCCAGGGGATCAGCTGTGCTTCTACCGCGACAGAATCTGAATGGACTTGGTGAAATGATTTGAGATATCCGAGGTACCACTTTAATCTGAAGTTTATCATCCTTTCCATTAATTTGCATAGGTAACTTGTAAGGGCTTGGGGAAGAGTACCTGTTTTATTAGGTTTTAGGAAAGGTAGTACCATGTCTTCTCTCCAGTGGGGAGTAAAGTTTCCAGTCTTCCATATGTTATTGAATAGTGAAAGGAAGGAAGGATAAAATAGGTAAAAGGTATCATAGCGTACGGTAATGTATACCATCTGGACCTTCATGGGCGTTGCAGCATGACTGAAGTGTAATATAGATTTCAGACGAAAAGGGAGCATTAGAAGATTCTGCAGATGACAGGGTGAAGGAGATGGGAGTGTACTCTTTGTCAAATTTTAAGGTAGAGAAGTGAGGAGAAAGGTTAGAGCCAATACTGATTTGACTAAAAAGACACCAAGTTCAGTAGCTACTTATCGAGGGTCAGAGATGAGGTTATTGTGAATATGGAGGACGAGGACTGGATGAGGAAGTTGTTTTCCTGATAATTTATGGATTTGCCGCGAGACTACAGTTGTTTTAAAGAATGTTATGGAGGACACAGTTTTGCCAGCTGTTTGTCTTGGAGTTACAGGTGGGCTGATGTTTTTTTAAAAGATATGAAGGCCGTTAGTTGACTGGCGGTACCTCTCTTGTATCGGTAACTGTTCCGAGTTGGACACTTCAAATGAAGCACTATTGTACATTCTAGGTTCTACCATGGAACAAATTTAGAAGTGAAAGGTCATGAGATTCAAGGGATGGTTGTAAAGGCTGCATTTAGTACATTAGCTGTGAAGTATTGAAGCATTTCTGTAGTGGAAGAGAAGGATGTTGGAGGAAAGTCAAGAGTTGAGAGAGGTAAAGGTATTCCAGTCTGCTTTGTCAAAGCACCAGCGAGTGGGGGTTGGGAAGTGGGATATAGGATGTTGAAGAAAGAATTGGGAAGTGATCACTAGATTGAAAATTGTTGAAGACTGACCAATGGAAGTCTATATGAAGGGTAGGAGAGCAAAGAGAAAGATCAAGGCATGAAAAGGATTGGGTGCACATGTCAAAGACAAAGTGACAGTTGAAATTTAGGAGGATAAGGTCAGTTTTGGACAGAAATTATCCTATGGAATGACCTCTGGTATTAATAATAGTCATCCCAGAGGGTATGGCAAGTCTTAAACTATTAGGAAAGGTGGGTGGAGTTGGAAGTGTAAGGTCTCAAATTCTAAGAAGTCAATAGGGAGGGAAGGAGAGTAGACTGAAATAATTGTGATCTAGCGGCGGAGGAAAATGCGAATAACAGTGCAAGGTATACTGGTTTGTAACAGGGGTATGATATATGGTGTTTTATGATGGAAAAGTATGGAGGCAAATAGAGAATGAGGGAGCAACACAAAATGGTACATGGAAATTGGTACTGGAGGATGTGTGAGGAAGGTTTCTTCGAGGCAGATGATAGATGGATTGTAAGAGAGAAGATGGTGGAGGTCAGGTCTGTGTGCGAGAAAGCCTCTAATGTTCCACTGCTGATCATTGAACAGGTAATATAGGTAGAAGTAGAAATGGATGTCTGAGAGGTAAGAGAAAGTGTGTCTGGGGATTGGGGTAGGGGACTAGAGGAAGGAGGTGACAGTGTAATATCAAGAGATTTATCATGGAAGGTGGGATCAGGGGAAGGAGGTGAAGGTATAGTATCTGGGGGTTCATCAAGAAAGGCTGGATCTGGGGAAGGACATTGTGATAGAAGGGAAATGCTCTTTTATGGAGCGTGGATAATGTCCTGTAGTGAAACCTGGACATTATCCTATGCCTTAGAGTCTCGTCTTGATGCCTTCTGTAATAGGTCCTTGTGCTGGATTATGGGGTTATGTTGGTGGGACCATTTGTCCAACCAACAGTGGCACCATGAGACTGGCACAGGACCTGTTACCTGCACAATCTGTAATCACCAACTCAGGCTATATGGCCACCTGGCTCGCTTCCCACAGGATGATCCTGCCCACCAGGTTGTCTCTATAAGACAGCCCTGGGTGGCCTGTGGGATGATCTAGGAAGTTGTGGCTTGGGCAGATCAATCAAACCTGTCCTGAGGAGATTGAGATGGGCCAAGTCCCTGCCTGTCAGCTTGCCATGAGGGACCCCAAAAGGTGGGAACGAAGGGTGGACACAGCTAAGTGACCCCATTGGCATTAGCTCCTAATGATGATGATATGGGGAGGTGAAGAGGAGATCGGTATCTGAGGGTTTGAGCGTGTAAGTGTGGGATGGAATCTGGTAGGAGATGAGGTGGGGTGTTTGTGTTGTTTGATGTAATAGGTAAGGCATGAAGAGGAGACATGGAGAAAGTTGTGGATATTGGAGTGTCTGGATCCAGCAGGGAAAAAGGATTTGATGGGGAAGTAGAGAAGCACGGGAAAGCGGTACTGATGATGTAGAGACCACTTGAGTAGAGTGGATAGGAGTGGACTGAACTTAGGTATTGGAGTAATGAGTGATTGAAAAATCTCATCGCTGCAATTCTTGTCTGGCCTCTCATAGAGTGAGGCCTAGTTAGTATCTGAGATCTGCTACTTCACTCTCAAATTTGTAGGCAGTGCCACCTGTATTAATTACATTATGGAGTGCACCACAATTAGCACACGTACGTGATTGTGCACAGCAGTTTAAACAGTCATGACCAGGTTGAGCACACAGTGGGCAGCGGGCTGTAGACCAACAGTGCTTTGCAGGGTGGCCAAAACACCAGCACTTCTGACACTGACAGGGTGGGGATTCATATGGTCTAACAGGACAAGATTCCCCTTCTATATAGACCTTATGGGGAAGGTCGTGTCTACGTAAGATAATCTTGGCAATATTGATGCTGGACTTATGATGGGGAATAGTATAGAACTGTACTGATACAGCATCGTATTCAGTGAGTCTGACCAATTTAATCCATATACAGGTCAAACAGTTGAGATGGAAACAGTTCCAGTACAAGTATTGAGGGGGCTAAATTTTCAACAAATATTTTTAAAAATACTCAAAAATTTGAAAAAAAAAAAAAAAAAAAAAAAAAAAAAAAAAAAAAAAAAAAATCTATAATCTATAGGCTTTGGCAATCCCGTGACATAATATTTCTGCTAATTACATAATATAAAGGAGTTATGACTAAATCTCTACCCCCCCCCCCCACCTCTGATGTTTACTTTGTGGCGTCCATGCAAATATACTCAACAAAATTTTTTTTTATTTTTTTCTATTTATTTTGGTATTCTCTGGTAGCTAGTTGGCAATTCTGCCAACTTGCTACCATAACTAAGAGACAAGGCAGGTAGTCAGAGGGAGAGGCTGCTCATCTGCTCTGTCCCATCCTCAACTTCAAAGCCTGGTAACTCAAAACTACACCCATTTCAATATTCTTTATTGTTTCTCCATAACTACTTGAGCGATTCTAATGGGATTTGGATCATTTGAAAGCTGAATTAATTTGCGATTTTTACAACAATGCTGATTTTCATTTCAGGTGATAAAAGTCCATACATCACTTTATATTTTTAACAATGAACATTTAGATTTTTAAAATTCGACTAAACTAAGAGGAAATTTCAAAATCTGAATTGTTACAATTTTAGGTATAAAGTCTGTGGTAACTAATTCAGTCAATGGATAAATGAGATACATAATTCCTAATATGAAACCTGGTGGTGTAAGTCGTAATATATGTATATATAACATTTAAAAATCATGAAAATATAATCATAATTAACGAATTTCATTCTCGAGTGTGACACCTCCCTTAAGGGAGGTATGAGGTTAGACAGGGATAGGTTTGCCAGTGAGGTCAACCAGGGTAGATAGTGCTTGGGCTTGAGTCTCTGATTAAACTGAAGCGTGAGCGATCAGGACAAATGTCGACGAAAACTTTGCCTACTTGTTTTTGGAGGCCATGTTGAAAATCAGTCCCACTTAGCTGATCTGAAGAGATTACTCAAAAGATTTGAAGGAGTGGGAATTGTAGAGGGACGAGGACGGGAGGAAGAGGGAGTGGTGTGAAGTGAGGTTGTATTCTAAAGGCGTGGAAAATAAGGTTGAAAAGTTGTAATGAGGGATGAGGAGGTAGAACATGAAGATGATTGTTAAGGAAGTGGGCTGGAAAATGTTGGAAGTGAGGATGAGATGTCTTTTAAGGGTTAAGTTGTAGACTAGGTAGATGATTCGGGATGGGTCAAGTTGGCAGTTATGTGTAGAGGAAAGTGTACTAACAGTGGTCAAAGCCATGGTCAAAGGGGGGGCAGAGGTCAGTAAACTAATGGAATTAGATTCAGAGAGGCTAGTTAAGAAAGGGGCCTGACATTTGTGGGAAAGGTAAAAAGGTCCACTCCTCAGGGTCCCCATAAGGGGTAAGGGCTAAATGATTTACCAAGTAATACCATGCCCATGGCTCCCTGAGGCCATTCATGACTGGCACAAGGTCAGCCTTTCCTTTCAACACGGCTCTTACACTTTAGGAATGAGATAAAAGAGTTGGGGAAGATAAGAGAAAAAAATGGGGGGGGGGAGGGGTGGCTTATGTTTAAATAAAAATAACTAAAGCTGAGTGTAAGAGAAAATGGCAATACAGATTTATCTAGTTTCAAAAAAACAATTCCTTTTGAGCAACAAAGATCAAATTTGAAATACACATTCTTATATCACAAGATATCTTTCTCCTTACCATAGTCTATCCAGTAGATCCCGATGTGCTGGAGCATTCACAGTCTGCCCAGTCATAAATGCTAATTTATGAGCATACATACATGGTGCTGGGACTCGGACTGTGCCCTTGAATAAAAATTAATGTAGATGAATAAAAGTGTGCCCGAGATTTGTTTTTCCCTAGTCATTTTACCAGGGCAGAAGAGCTAAGCTCAGTGGGTCATTCTGCTACACCTAAAATAATCATACTTTTTAAATTAAAACATATGGGTGCACTCACATATACGTGGGTGTGTGCATGTACACATGTGCACGAGGGTGTGCAAGTGTACATGAGCATATGCATGAATGTATGTGACCATGTAGACGAGTGTATGAATGGATGTGGGCGGCCTCATACATGAGCAGATGCACAAATGAATGCAACAATGTACACCAGATTATGCATGGATGTATGCAACCATGTATTTGTGAGGTTCTGTTTATGCATGGATTTGTACATGTGTTTATGCATGGATTTGTACATCGTGTTTATGCATGGATTTGTACATGGATGTGTTCAACCACGTACAGCTAAACAGAAAACAACTGTAAGGATATGTGACAAAACATTCCATATTAAAAAGAATCTTGTGTTATGGAAGGGATGGTATTTTGGGGATTTCGAATTTATCTCATTCTAATTCATGTCTTGAACAGTTGTTTCAGAATTCACATGGATTCATCATGAGATGATTTTATTCCCGTAAGTATGGAGTATGCTTTGCAAAACTTGGATAAAGCAGAAGGACCCATAAGTAGTTGGAAAATCAAGGATATCAACAGTTTTGTTGCATTAACAACTATTTTCAAAAAGTATTCTTACTTTTGTCGGAATGTTTAGGATACTCTAACACTAATTTTCTGTGTAGCTGTACATGCATCTGTTCATAGATAAGTATATGCGCATAAGCAGGGGTTTGTGCAAACGTGTCTATATGCCTGGGTCTGTGCACGCGCATATGCATGAGTGTGTGGACGGGAGTGCACGCCTGTACACCTGGCTGTGGCAAAGGGAGTGCACTGTGGCCCTGTACAACTGCCTGTGGCCAAGGGAGTGCACGCCTGTACAACTGCCTGTGGCCAAGGGAATGCACGCCTGTACAACTGCCTGTGGCCAAGGGAGTGCACGCCTGTACAACTGGCTGTGGCCAAGGGAGTGCACGCCTGTACAACTGCCTGTGGAAGGGAGTGCACGCCTGTACAACTGCCTGTGGCCAAAGGAGTGCACGCCTGTACAACTGCCTGTGGCCTGCACGCCTGTACAACTGGCTGTGGCCAAGGGAGTGCACGCCTGTACAACTGGCTGTGGCCAAGGGAGTGCACGCCTGTACAACTGCCTGTGGCCAAGGGAGTGCACGCCTGTACAACTGCCTGTGGCCAAGGAGTGCACGCCTGTACAACTGCCTGTGGCCAAGGGAGTGCACGCCTGTACAACTGGCTGTGGCCAAGGGAGTGCACGCCTGTACAACTGCCTGTGGCCAAGGAGTGAACTGCCTGTGGCCAAGGAGTGCACGCCTGTACAACTGCCTGTGGCCAAGGGAGTGCACGCCTGTACAACTGCCTGTGGCCAAGGGAGTGCACGCCTGTACAACTGCCTGTGGCCAAGGAGTGCAACAACTGCCTGTGGCCAAAGTGCACGCCTGTACAACAAGGAGTGCACGCCTGTACAACTGCCTGTGGCCAAGGGAGTGCACGCCTGTACAACTGCCTGTGGCCAAGGGAGTGCACGCCTGTAACTGCCTGTGGCCAAGGAGTGCACGCCTGTACAACTGCCTGTGGCCAAGGGAGTGCACGCCTGTACAACTGCCTGTGGCCAAGGGAGTGCACGCCTGTACAACTGCCTGTGGCCAAGGAGTGCACGCCTGTACAACTGCCTGTGGCCAAGGGAGTGCACGCCTGTACAACTGCCTGTGGCCAAGGGAGTGCACGCCTGTACAACTGCCTGGCCAAGGGAGTGCACGCCTGTACAACTGCCTGTGGCCAAGGGAGTGCACGCCTGTACAACTGCCTGTGGCCAAGGGAGTGCACGCCTGTACAACTGCCTGTGGCCAAGGAGTGCACGCCTGTACAACTCCTGTGGCCAAGGGAGTGCACGCCTGTACAACTGCCTGTGGCCAAGGGAGTGCACGCCTGTACAACTGCCTGTGGCCAAGGGAGTGCACGCCTGTACAACTGCTGGCCAAGGGAGTGCACGCCTGTACAACTGCCTGTGGCCAAGGAGTGCACGCCTGTACAACTGCCTGTGGCCAAGGGAGTGCACGCCTGTACAACTGCCTGTGGCCAAAGGGAGTGCACGCCTGTACAACTGCCTGTGGCCAAGGGAGTGCACGCCTGTACAACTGCCTGTGTGCACGCCTGTACAACTGCCTGTGGCCAAGGAGTGCACGCCTGTACAACTGCCTGTGGCCAAGGGAGTGCACGCCTGTACAACTGCCTGTGGCCAAGGGAGTGCACGCCTGTACAACTGCCTGTGGCCAAGGGAGTGCACGCCTGTACAACTGCCTGTGGCCAAGGAGTGCCTGACTGCCTGTGGCCAAGGGAGTGCACGCCTGTACAACTGCCTGTGGCCAAGGAGTGCACGCCTGTACAACTGCCTGTGGCCAAGGGAGTGCATACAACTGCCTGTGGCCAAGGGAGTGCACGCCTGTACAACTGCCTGTGCCAAGGGAGTGCACGCCTGTACAACTGCCTGTGGCCAAGGAGTGCACGCCTGTACAACTGCCTGTGGCCAAGGGAGTGCACGCCTGTACAACTGCCTGTGGCCAAGGAGTGCACGCCTGTACAACTGCCTGTGGCCAAGGGAGTGCACGCCTGTACAACTGCCTGTGGCCAAGGGAGTGCACCGCCTGTACACTGCCCTGTGGCCAAGGGAGTGCACGCCTGCTTTTACAACCTGCTCTCTGGCAAGGGAGAAGCACGCCTGCTCAT